TGCTGTTGCTGCTGCTGTTGCTGCTGCTGCTGCTGCTGCTGCTGCAGTTTTGACCTCTGTTTTCCTCGCAAAGAGTGATGCGGAGTTCCTCTTGCTGTTGCGTCTGCTCTTCCTCTTGCTGCTGCTGCTGCTGCTGTTGTTGTTCCTCCTCCCCCTCCTCCTGCTGCTCCTGCTCCTGTTCCTGCTGCTGCTGCTGCTGCTGCTGCTGCTGTTGCTGCTGGTATAAGGGTGTGGGGCCCCACACCTGATATTTGGTCAACAAATTTAGCAGCAGCAGCAGCAGACTTCCATTTACACAGTACTGCATGCAGGGCCTCTCCCTGCAACCGGTGCTGCTGCTGCTGCTGCTGCTGCTGCTGCTGTTGCTGCTGTTGCTGCTGCTGCTGTTGCTGTAAGAGAGCAGGCAGCAGCCATACAGCAGCAAGCTCATCAATTAGATTTGGGCAAAACAACTGCAGCAGCAAATTAAATTGCAGCGCAACGCATGCAGGGACAGCTAAGATAAGGGACAGCTGCTGCTGCTGCTGTTGCTGCTCCTGCTGCTGCTGCTGCTGCTGATCTGCTGCTGCAGGCAAGCCCACAGATAAACCCTCATCACCCAATAGGGTACAGGGGCCCTCCTGGGGGCCCCCCAATACCCCATGGGGTTGGGGCCCCCCCTCTAAGGAACTGGAGAAAGGTGTTGTCCTGTCGTTGCTGCTGCTGCTGCTGCTGCAGCTGCTGGTGCTGCTGCTGGTGCTGCTGATGCTGCTGTTGCTGCCAATTCGAGTAAGCTGTGCAATGCATGCAGCATCTGTTGTCCCTAATTCAGCTGCTGCTCCTGTTGCTGCTGCTGCTGCTGCTGTTGCTGTTGTTCCTCCTCCTGCTGCTGCTGTTTTTGCTGCTGCTGCTGCTGCTGCTGCTGCCTTTGTTGTTTTGCATTCTGCCTGCAGCAAACTTCCCTGTACACCGCACAGCAGATGTAAACGGATCCTTTTCTTCTTCTTCTTCTTGCTGCTGCTGCTGCTGCTGCTGTTTCTGCTGCTTTTGTTGCTGCTGCGTTTACTAGTACTGCTAATACTCCTGCTGCTGCTGTTGCTGCTGCTGTTGCTGCAGCTGCCAGTCCTAGTGCAGTCTTTCTTGGTTATCTGCTGCAGCTGGGACCCAGAATCCTCTTCAGTTTCTGCTGCTGCTGTTTCTGCTGTTGCTGCTGCTGCTGTTTGCTCTGGCTGCTGCTGCTGCTGCAGCAGCAGCAAGCTGCTGCTAAGGATATCTACTGGGGGGATATGGAGGTGCAGCACAAAGCGCGAAGCTGCGGTGTTGCTGCTCTCGGGTGTACGTACACCTTCAGACATTGGCACGCTGCTGCTAATACTGTTGTTGCTGCTGCTGCTGTTGCTGCTGCTGCTGCTGCTACTATGACGACGGCTAGGGTTACATGGGGTGGGTGTTGTGACACTCGGTCTTGTTGTTGCTGCTGCTGCTGCTGCAGATGCAGCAGCAGCAGCGGTTGCTTCCTGTATAAATATAGCTAGCTTGCTGCTGTGTTGCTGCTGCAGCGGGGGCCCCCCAAGAAGACACCTGCTGCTACGAAGTTTGCTGCTGGGGGGCCCCCAACTTGCTGCAGATAAGGGGAGGCCTATATAGGCAGCAGAAAGTAAATAGTCTATATGTTTAGTAGCAGCAGCAGTAGCTGCTGCTGCTGCTCGTGCTGCAGTAGCTGCAGCCGATGCAACAGAAGCGGCAACTACGTCAGCAGCAGCAGCTGCAGCAGCAGCAGCAGGAGTCGGCTGCAGCAGCAGCAGCAGCAGCGAATACAGGGAGAAGAAGGAGGATTCTATGGTGAATATACACATAAAAATATAATAATATATACCTTTGCCTTTTTTATTTGTATTTGCTTATGTTGCTGCAGCTGCAGCTGCTGTTGCTGCTGCTGCTGCTGCTGCTGCGTATGGTGACGGACAGACTTATACAGCACAGCACAGTAGCAGCAGCAGCAGCAAAAGCAGCAGCAGCGCAGCAAGATATAAAGAAATTTATTACTGAATTCTTTAGTATTTCCTATTATTTGTATTTATATTTATAATTTATTTATTTATTTATTTATTTATTTATTTATTTATTTATTTATTCTTCTTGCTGCTGCTGCTGCTGCTGCTGTTGCTATATGGGGCCCCCTTAGAGGGGTATCACTAGGGGGGGCCCCACTGGACTGCTGTACCCTTCATCGTTATTCTTCTATAACAAAGGGGGCCCCCCTCTATGCTGCTGCACTTCCGGTGTATAGGCAGGGGCCCCTGGGGCCCCTGGAGCCCTCGGGGCCCCCCTGTGGTCTTGTATGGTACCACCGACCACCGGCATCAGCAGCAACAGGAGCACTAGCAGCATCAGCAGCAGCAGCACCATCAGCAGCACCAACACCAGCAGCAGCAGCAGAAGCAGCAGCAGCAGCAGCAGCACAGCAACAATAGCAGAATCAATTGTAGCAGCAGCAACAGCAACAAACCAGTAGCAGCAACAACAGCAGCAGCAACAGCAGCAGCAGCAACACGATGCATGCAGCCCCATTGGGGAGCAGCAGCAAAAGACTAACAGGCGAACAAAGAGAGACTTCCTTAACAATAAAGGAGTCTTCTTGCTGCATCTGCTGCTGCTTGCTGCAGCAGCAGCTGCTGCTGCTGCAGTAAACTGCAGCAGCAGCAGCAAAAGGAAAAACGGAGGGTGCAGGGGCCCCGCATTCTGCTGCTGTTTGCTGCGCTGGCGCGCACCTCGCTAGTGCAAAAGGTGCTGCTGCTGCTGCTGCTGCTGCTGCTGCACATGCAACAACTACTAAAGCAGCAGTAAAAAAAAAAGCTGCAGCTGCAGCAAGAACTGCAGCAACAGCAGCAGCAGCAGCAGCAGCTGCTGCTGCTGCTGCTGCTGCTGCGTCACCCCAACCGTACTTGGTGGGGGCGAGGCTTCTCCTTAAACAGAAAATGCTACCCAAGCAAATAAAGCAGCAGCAGCTGCTGCTGCAGCTGCTGCTGCTGCAGATGCTGCTGCTGCAGCTGCAGCAGCTGCAGCAGCTGCTGCTAGTTGTGTATGGGGGCAGCAGCAAGCAAATAGAGACGCATCCTCATTTGCTGCTGCCTTGTTGCATTGATCTACTGCAGCAGCAGCAGCAGCAGCAGCATTTTAAATGATAGCTGCCGCTGCTGTTGCTGCTGCTGCTGCTGCTGCTGCAGCTGGTGCAGCGGCGTAAGACCTACGGCTCTGCTGCTGATCTCTTGTATATCTACATTAAAGGGTTTAGGGTTTAGGGTTTAGGGTTTAGGGTTTAGGGTTTATGGAGCAAATGCAAGACGCTGCCCTTTATCATTAGGGTTACAGTTAGCTAGTTTTGCTGCATGCGGACTTGCTGCTGTTGCTGCAGCAAATATACGTATACATAATCCTGTGTTTGCTGCTCCTGCTGCTGCTGCTGCACCTTTTGCTGCTGCCTCCATACCATTAGATCCTGTTGCTAAGAATTCTAGTGCTGCTGCTCTTGCTGCTGCTGCTCCTTCTGCTGCTGCTTGCTCTGGTGTCATTTGTTGCCCCTCTTCTTCTTCTTCTTCTCCTTCTTCTTCTTCTTTTGCTGCTGCTTCTGCTGCTGCTGCTGCTGCTGCTGCTCTTGTATCCTCATCCTCTATATACTCATCCCTATCCATATCTAATAATCTATCTATCCTTGCTGCTTCTGCTGCTGCATGCGCTGCATCTGCTGCTGCTGCTTCCTTTATATCTACTAATTGTATCTGTCCTGTCTCTGGATATATACGCCAACGCATGCTTGTTGCTGCTGCTGCTCCTTCTCCTGAGGTGTACGTACACCCCAATTGTACCAAGGATAATGTATTTATATTTCCTCCTATGCATGTTGTTAGTCCGCTCTGTCCTACAAATATCTTACCTAATTCACCATCAAATAAGAATGCCTGCAGCAGCAAGTGCAGCAGCAGCAGCAAGTGCAGCAGCAGCAGCAAGTGCAGCAGCAGCAGCAAGTGCAGCAAAAGAAAGAGGGAAATAATGAATCCCTATATAGATATAACTGTTACATACATCTACAGCAGCAACAAGAACAACAGCAACAGCAACAGTAACAGCAGCAGCAGCAATAACAACAGCAACAGCAGCACGAATAACAGCAACAGCAGCATGAACAACAGCAACAGCAGCAGCAGCAGCAACAGCAGCATGAACAACAGCAACAGCAGCACGAACAACAGCAACAGCAGCAGCAGCAGGAATAACAACAGCAACAGCAGCACGAACAACAGCAGCAACAGCAACTGGACCAGGAGCAGCAGCAGCAGCAGCAGCAACAGCAGCAGCAGCAACAGCAGCACCAGCAGCAGCAGCAGCAGCAGCAGCAGTAGTAGTAATAGTAGTAGCAAGAGGAGAAAGAAGAGCACAAGTTGTTGCTGTTAATATATTTGTTGTTGTACAACAGCAACAGCAGCAGCAGCAGCAGCAGCAGCAGCAGCAGCAAGAAAAGAATGAATATAACGACAAAAAGACCAGGAAAAAGAACAGCAGGAAGACAAGAGCAGGAAGACAGTAGGAGGAATAAGAGTAAATAAATACCATGAGTCCTCTTCTTTGTGGTAAAATAAGTAATTTAGTTTTATTAGGTAATGCCTTAGCAACATATTCCTCTAATTGTGTATATAAGGATAAATGTGTCTCCTTATTAGTATAATCATTAATAATAATTAATTCCTTTAGTAAAAAAAAAGGAGTATTATTATATAATGAATGTATACTTCTTAATAATATACTTAATAATTCATTATAAAATATTATTATTATAGATACATTTAATAAATAATCTTTATTTGCTGCTGCAACTGCAGCAGCAGCAGCAGCAACTTTCTCCAAATTTTCTGCTCTTTTCTCCGCTTTTTCTGCTTCTTTTATTAACTCTAATATATTATTCTCTCCTTTTTCTCCTTCTCCTTCCCCTCCTCCTCCTCCTCCTCCTCCTCCTCCTCCTCCTC